GCACTTGGACCACGTGCGAGAGGTACTTCTTATTCTGCGTGCTGAGTCTTTTTATGATGCACCGCTCAAATGTGTGTTCTTGGTAGATTCGGTTCTTTTTCTTGGCTTTGTTATCTCAGCGGATGGTATTCGTGTGGACGCCGGGAAGATTGCCGCCATTCGGGACTGGCCGCAGCCTATGACGGTTACCGAGGCACGTAGCTTTCATGGCCTCGCCTCCTTCTATCGTCGTTTCATCTCTCATTTTAGCTCCATCATGGCCCCGTTCACAGATTGTATTGCCGGGAAATCTTTCGTTTGGACGCCACAGGCGGCCGCGGCCTTTGCTCTGATCAAGGAGCGTCTTACTTCGGCACCTGTCTTGGTCTTGCCTGACTTTTGTCGTCCTTTTGAGCTTTCCTGTGATGCTTCTAAGGTCGGCATTGGGGCAGTTCTGAGTCAGGAGTCTAGCCCAGTCGCGTTCTTTAGTGAGAAGCTGTCGGGCCCGCGACTTCGGTATAGTACTTATGACGTGGAGTTTTATGCTGTGTATCGTGCCGTCCAGCATTGGCGACACTATCTTTTCCACCGTGAGTTTGTTTTATTTTCCGACCATGAGGCTCTTCGTCATCTGGCTTCTCAGGACAATATCTCTTCTCGCCATGCCACGTGGACATCCTTCTTACAGCAGTTCATGTTTGTCCTCCAGCATCGTTCGGGGGCTTCTAATCGCGTGGCGGATGCACTTAGTCGGCGTGCCCTCTTGTTGTCCGATATGCGGGTGCAGGTTGTTGGTTTTGACGTCCTTCGCGACTTATATGCTTCTGATCCTTTCTTTGGACCCATTGTTGCCCGCCTTTCCACGGGCCCGTTTGAGGATTATGTGTTGCATGATGGCTTCCTTTTTCGTGGTCTACGATTGTGTATCCCTGATAGCAGTCTTCGTCTGCAGCTAGTGGGCGATTTGCATGGTGCCGGTCACCTCGGGCGGGACCGTTTGGTGGAGTTGGTCCATCGATCATATTTTTGGCCTTCCTTGAGGAGGGACGTGTCTCG